ACGTGCAGGCATCTGTTTCCACTTAAACTTTAATCTACTAATTTGCCATCCATTGGAGGATCTTGTTAAATGTCTTTGGCTCATTAATGTCCAGATTTTTCTACACAGAATTATTTATGGTTGACAAATAACACCGGTGATATAATGTTTCCTCAGAGTGCTTCATTATGTCTGGGGTTTTATTCTGAGCTGTTAACAGCCATTCTGGTAGGCAGATTCCAAGATGGTGAGCAAACCTCCCTCACCTAGAATACATGCCTTGCATCTATCATCCTTGCCTCTTTGGCATGGGTGGGATTTAAGGACAAGAGCACATCATTATCGCTTTTATTGCAAAGAGATAGGTGTAATGAAGACCTGTAGTTGGGTTAATCAAGAGGGAGATTATCCTGGTTCTGACCTAATCAAGTGTATGGAACTTTACGGAGGAAGTATAAAACTTAGATTTCATGAGGAAACAAGTATTAGCAATGTATTTTCTTTTTATTTTTGAGACAGGGTCTCACTGTGTAGTTCAGGGTGGCCTTGAACTCAGTTATTCTCCTGCCTCAGCCTCCAAGTTCTGAGATTAGAGGCATGCACCATCACAACTGGCCTTCTCCCCACCACATTGCTCATTATGTAGCCCAGGCTGGCCGTGAATTCACTTTTCACCTTCTCCTTTTAATTTCTTGCCTTGCCTATTTGATTTGCTCTGTTGGGCCTCATGGTGTTGTTGCCTTCATTGTCTTTTTCTAGGATCTTGTTTAGAATTGCTTGTAGTGCTGGTTTGGTATTCATGTAGTTTCTCAGGTGTTCTTTGTCGTGGAAGTGTCTTATTTCCCCCTCCATTTTGAAAGAGAGTTTTGCTGGATACATCAGTCTAGGTTGGAGGTTGTTCTCTTTTAGTACTTGAAATATCTCATTCCAGGCTCTCCTTGCCCCAAGGGTTTATGTTGAAAAGTCTGCTGTGATTCTGATGGGCTTTCCTTTGTATGTGATTTGTTTCTTTTCTCTTACTGCTTGTAGTATTTTGTTCTTCTGTTGGGTTTCTGGGATCTTGATTATTATATGTCTAGGTGTAGATTTTTTTTTATTGTAGCTAGTTGGGGTCCTATATGCCTCAGTTATCTGAATGTCAAATTCTTCCCCTCTGTTTGGGAAGTTTTCTGTCATTAATTCTGCAAACAGCTTTTTTAAGTCATTTGTATTTTCTCCTTCTACTTCATGTATTCCTATCAGTCTTATGTTATTCTTCTTTGCATCATCTAGGAGTTGTTGGATCGATTTCTCATGATCTCTTACTGTTTTTAAGAGACCTCTCTTTTCATGGTCACTGACTGCAATCTTATCTTCTATATCTGAGAGCCTATCTTCGCATTCTTTTATTCTGTTGCGTACACTTTCAATAGAGTGTTTAATCTCCTGGATATCTGTTTGAATCTGTTTTATGGATTCCATTTCTTTCCTATGTTGGGCGTTTATTTTTTCCATTTCTTTCTTATGCTGGGCCTTCATGGCTTCTATCATGGTCCTGAGCTCATCTATTTTTTTGTCAGTTTCTGCTCTAGAGTCTCGAATCACGACTTCCATTTTGCTCACTATCTCTATGGTTATCTGGGAAATTATTTCTGTTTTGAATTTTTCTAGAGCCTGATTGATCTGTTTTGTTACTTCCTGTGCTTTGAGTTCAGGGTGTCCTGGAGGTTCACTATCGGCCTTTTCATCCTCATTTGCCCTACTGTCTGCCATTGGTGAACTGGAAGTCTGTCCTAGTGTCTTGCTTAAGTGTTTTCTCATTTTAATTTTTGTTGTCAGACTGTCCTTGGTCTAATCTCTGGATTATCACCCAAATCTTCCTGATATAGTTGCACCCTAGCTTCTGTGTCTCTAACGACCCACAGACATTCTCATCTTTATAACATCAGAGAAAACAGCGCATCAAATCAACGGCAATGCTTTACCCCAACTGATACAATCAGCAACACATTAAGATCAAGCACAACTTGGACACTGACCACCTGTGGTAGTCACTAATCTATCACCCTTAAATCATTTGAATTAATTGAAATCAAGAAGCAGTCCAAAACATGTCTGCAGTGAACAAACTTTTCAATATAGTATATTTACCATTTAATGGCTCAGAGCAAGGATGCAAGACCCCTGATCTCAGTTAGCTAATTGCTGAACCCCATGACGCTGACTGACCTTGGGCTGCAAGGCCCAGATTGAGTTCCCCATCCTTCTGAATGGTTGAACTCCACAACGTTCTATTACAGGTTTCCCACGCCCTTTCTTTAAAGATGTTCAAAGTTGGGGACTCAGAAAAATACCCTTGATGACCACCTCTGTCTTTGCAGAGTGGGTCCAAAGACTTGCACAGTCAGGAGGTCTGACAGTGTGTGTGGGGGCCTTATGGGGGTTCAGGGGGCTACCTTCCTGGCGCTTGAGCGATGGCTGCTAGGTCCGGAGCAGGCGTGGTTCTCCTTCCCGTGGTGGATCAGGGCCTGGCCTACCTTCCCGGCGCTTGAGCGATGGCTGCTGGGTCGGGAGCAGGAGTGGTTCTCCTCCTGCCGTGAATTCACTATGTAGCCTCAGCTAGCCTCAAACTTGCAGCATTCTTCTTGCCGCAGGATTACAGGTGTGCACTACACCTGGCTTCACCTTTCACATTTTCATGCTGGCACTCTCTTGAACTTGCAAAATGTCTGAAAAGTTCACAGAAAATGGTCAGCCAGGTATGGTGGCGCACGCCTGTAATCCCAACACTCAAGTGGCTGAGGCAGGACTGCCACGAATTTGAAGCCAGACTGAACCACATAGCAAGACCCTGTCTCAAAAAATAAAACAAACAAAAGCCCAAACCCATATTCTTTCTCAAATGCTATAATGCCGAGTGACTTTCTCCAGTATCCATCAGGAATTTTGCATATGCTTACAATCAACCATGTCACAACTTTGTGTGAGACATCTCAACTTCAGAGATGATGGTATGAAATAAGAAAGAAACTCAGGATCTATCCTCTAGTTCCACACAGTTGTAGTTGGAACTTCGAAGGTTCTGCTTCCTCTAGTGTTCATGGAGAAAGACAAAGAAAGGCATCGATCTCCTTTCCACCCATTCATAGGTAACGCTCCTTAATTCACTCTGTAGGCTGCCATGATAGTGAGATAACTGCAAAACATGAAATGTGACTGCTTCTCTTTAAATGTGGTTAATATAAATATGATAGTTGGAGTAAGAGTTAAAAATCAGTTGGATGCTAACATGGATTTTTAAAAAGTTATTTATTTTTTGGTTTTTTGAGACAGGGTTTCACTATGTAGTTGAGGCTGACCTGGAACTCACTATGTAGCCCAGGCTGGTCTCAAACTCACAGACATCCTCTTGCCTCAGCCTCCCAAGTGCTGGGGTTATAGGCGTGCACCACCACACCCGGCAAAACTGATTTTATTATTATAGTTTTCTAAATTTGCAGGGATCAAACAGAGCTATATGCACGCTAGGCTTGCACCTACCACTGAGCTACACCTGCAGTCCATGTGTATATATTTAATGATGTTATCACATGATAAAATATACATAAAAACAAATTGCAGCTATTTACAAAATGTACGGATCTTAGAAACACACTGAAAAAATAAAACCTTTAGACTACATATACTACTTCTATAAAGCACAAAAGAATGAAACTAAAAATATAAATATGTATTTTTAAAGTTACCTTAGGGATATATATATATACACACTTAGTTTTTTTTAAACCTATGATTAAAACCAATTATAAAATGGAATGGGGCAGTAGGGAGAGATAGGAGCATAAATAGACAAATACAAAACATTAGATTATGCTTTATTTTTGTTCTGTTTGGTGGAGCTGAGGATCAAACCCAGACCTCAGGCATGCTGTGCAAATGTTCTACACTGAGCTAAATTCCCAGCCCCAGCACTGGTAATGTTTTAATTCTTAAGTTAGGTGATAAGTTATTGTGCTTAATTAATTTATTTGCATGCCATTTTTATCCTTGTACAAGTGTCAAATATTATAGTAAAATATAAATGCAAAATAATTTATAAAGTATTGACAAAGTATATATGTGTATGGTTGTTTTTTTAAAACTATGCTCATTAGTCAGCATTTCTAGTTATAGGAAATTTGGGTTAATTTTAACAAAGAATGATGTTTTAAAAAGTCACTCACAAAACCTCTAGGACAGCCAGGAAACCAGAATTAGAGGTTGTAGTTTCAGCCTGGGTTCAATCCCTAGTAAAACACACACACACAGTACGCAGATGAGAAAGAAGGGAGGGAAAGAAAAGTGAGGTTGTTCTATATCTCCAACATCAGAAAACTGCCCCGGTGTCACTTTGAGACTGCAGCTGACACCACTGACATTGCTGACACTGCAGACTGCATCACTAAAAAAAACCCACTTTTGCTGCCTCTCACTGGAGCAGAACTCATAGCCAGTGTTGCTGGTCATCCTATTCAAGGGATTCTGCATGGTTCCCTGCTCCACTGTATCACAGACTTTGTCTTTGTTTTTTGAAACACAGAGTTGGCTATATATCTAGGCTGGTCCTGAACTGTGGTTCTTCTGTCTCAGCATCCCAAGTGCTGGAATTACAGGCCTGTGCCACCATGCCCGGCTTTATCATTAATTGTGGAGTTTAAGGCAGACGTATCTTTCCTAGCTGTAAAAGAGGCTGGGAAAGCATGTACAGTACTCAACTCTTTCAAATTTTTAGGAGGGAGGAAGGCTCTGCCTCGATTAAGTGAGGAATTTCCTAAATACAAGAGTTAGGCTGTTGGGGCAATCAATAAACGTCAGATGTATGCACAGCCTGTTCCCTTGATTTCTGAACATTTAATATTCTCTCAGCTAATGCTCACACTTGTTAAAAATTATATTTAAGGTAAAGGGACTTGACAATGTAAGAGTCAAACACTTGTTTTCTCAATATTGTTTCTCTTTGCTCAAGTGTGTGATTTTTTTTTTTTTTTTTTTTTTTTTTTTGCGGTACTGGGGATTGAACTCGGGACCTTTCACTTTTGAGACAGACGGCCACACTACTGAGGTAAGCCCCAGCCCTGTCTTTGCTAATAGAATCCTGATTTTATTTGAGGCAGCTATGCACTTGGCCTCTTTTGCAGTTACAAGTGGCTATTTAACATGTCCAGCAAATACGGCAAAGGGAAGTCTGCTTGGCATTTCTAGGAAAGCTCTGACTCACTCTGTAAAAGGTGATACATACAGCTGGCAGAGGGCATCTCCTATTCTTTTTTTCTACTTTCAACATGGGCAAGACAGAAACCTTTTAGTAACTATAGGTAAATAGCCTGAAAGATGGTAAGGAGGCAGGGTTGTTTTTGTCTTGCAATACAGTTTGGGCTGGCTCTGAACTCTCTATCTAACTCAGGCTGGCCCTGAACTTGTGGCCTCCTAAATGCTGGGATTATAGAGTGTGGCACTGCATCTGTCTGGAAGCAGACTTGAAGGCCAGAGCTGCGTACTTTCTTGTGTGCATAAGGAACTACTGATCAAGCATTGCTTCTTTCACTTACATGCACACATAATCTCAGCTACATTACTGTAGAAAACAGATAGTGATTACTAGTTGACTCCATTTACTGAGGTATATTTCCTAACATACGACTTGGTGTTTCTTTTGTCCTGGACTCTGCACAGTATTTGGCATTTTGTTTTGTTTTTGTTTTTTGAGACATGGTCTCACTATGTAGTTGAGACTGACCTGGAACTCACTATGTAGCCCAGGCTGGTCTCCAACTCACAGCGATCCTCCTGCCTCAGCCTCCTGTGTGCTGGGATTACAGGCGTGTGCCACTGCACCTGGCTAGTATTTGACGTTTAAACCTACTGGTTAAGAATGTATTTAAGAGTGCCTGTTTGAATGGCTCCAGTTTGGATAAGAAACCACCTCCTTGTGCCTGAGTAATTGTGAAATGAGGTACTGCTGAAATGGAGATCATGTATTAGTACGTCACACGGTAATGGCTGTTACTGTCGGCAATACTTCCATGCTTTGCTCCTGTGGCACCAAGCTTTCCTAACTGTCCTAGCTGTTCACTGTCCCGATTAGATTCTCAAGTTTAAATAGTCTTCCTCTGCACCCTGTAGGTACTTACCATGGATTCATCAAATGTGCACATATGTTCCCTTACCAAACTTTTTTTTTTTGGTACTGGGGATCGAACCCGGTCTTGTACTTGCGAGGCAGGCGGTGGCACCATTGAGCTAAATCCTGCGCCCACCAAACTTATTTTTGAAATATATCAATGGCTCATTTTCAACTCAACTCTGAATAAAGGGCTTTACACCATAGACTATATAGTCTTAAACTATTATATTCAAAGTTATGAAGATTTTTTTTTTTTGTTTTTTTTTTTTTTTTTTTTTTTGGTATTGGGGATTGAACTCCGGACCTTGCACTTGCGAGGCAGCTGCCAACACCACAGAGGTAAATCTCAGCCCAATGAAGATTTTTAAAATACAAATTCAGCTGGGGATTTAGCTCAGTGGTTCCATCGCCTGCCTTGCAAGACAAGGACCTGAGTTCGATCCCCGGTACAAAACAAAACAAAAAACAAATTCACATGTTCAAATTTCTATTTCAGTATGCTGAGAAAGCCATGTTTTGAGGAGCACTGAAAAATACCTTGAATGTCTGATCATGCATAAGGTACTGCTGTAATTAATACCTTGTCAATATAAGATGCTATTTGTAGTCACTCGGGTGAATGTTATGCTAATTATAAACTATTTATGAAAGCTTTGTCATAACTACTTAACTAGGCTGCTATATAGGTGACAAAAACCTCTCTGTACTTCCTATTAATGAGACTAATTACTGAGTAAAATTAGCCAATGTGTTAGATGTGGTGGCATATACTTGTACTCCCAGCTCTCGGAAGGCTGAGGCAGGAGGACTGCTGCAAATTTGAGGCCAGCCTAGCTACATAGTGAGACCCTGTCTCAAAACCAAAAAACAACTAATGTTCTCAAAACAGCCTTTTATTAGAAATAATTTCATATTAAAATTTTGCAACCCAGTCAATTCCTTTCATCCACTACAAAAGAGAAAGGAATATTCTGCCTCCATTTAATTTGTAACTATACATTACCTTCACAACATAGCCCACCCAGAATTTATATATATAGGGGACTGTACACTCTTTACACTTTTTTTTTTAGACATGGTCTCACTATGTAGCTCAGGCTTGCCCTGAACTGACTGACTAGCTGAGGCTGGTCTTGAATTCATGGCACACCTCCTGCCTCAGGCTCCCAAGTGCTGAGATTACAGGTCTGTGTACCACCGTGCCTTGCCTCCTCCTTATACTCATATTTCAAGCCTTTGATTTTCTGCATGGGAAGGGAAGAGTTAACACGTAAATTTATCCTGATACCTGAAACGTAAAGAACTCCATAAACAGCTCTAAAGGAGCACAAGGCAGGTAAAGGGACACCATATGTCTTAACAGACTAATGGATAACTTTGTCACTTTCCATCAAACCTGGCCAGAGGCTGAAAATGGTATAGGGTACCCCGCCTCCTGAATGGGTTTGGGGGACAACCTGGGGCACTTAGGGCATACTTCAAGGCAAACAGCTGGACAAACTTCACTCTTAGGAATGAAAGAGAAATGCTCTCACGTGGGGGTGAAAGTATTTTCAGTCGAATCTCTGCAGGACACCAAATAGAAACTTGAAAATCTCTAAAATGATGCATGCTTACTATCCTACTACTCTAGCAAAATTCATTGGCATTGCAGAGATCAGATGTTAGAGCAGTACAAAAGAAATTCTGTAGCACACAAAGAACTAGAAAATAGCTTTTTTCTTTTCTTTTTTTTTGGTACCGGTGTTCAAACTGGGGACCTTACACTTGTGAGGCAGGCAGCAGGCAAACAGCTTTTTAACACCGTGTTTCTCTCATGCAGTATGGTATGTAATATTATTGGAAAATATTGACAGGTTTGGCACCCACTGTTTCAAATACTTTGGGCAAATCTAAATGGTTGACATAACTGGATGTAATTTATAAATGTGTAGTATGTGTAACTGAGACACGGGAATGAGGTAAGTGAACTTAGCTGACAACTCAGCATAAGAATCTCAATTTTGCTTTGCTGTCAGCCTACACAATATCACGAATGTTAACAACTCTCATTAGATAATAAAAATGCTTCCATATAAAAGAACAGATCTAAAGAAAAAAACAACAAAGTCAACTATTAGTGCTAGTAAAGAAACATCAAGCAAGTGGTGGTTCTGAAGTATACAAGTTATACATATGTAGACCTAAGAACTATGGGCTGGGGATTTAGCTCAGTGGCAATGCACCTGCCTCACAAGCACAAGGTCCTGAGTTCAGTCGTCAGTACCAAAAAAAAAATGAAAAAAAAAAAAAAAAAAAAAAAAAAAAAAAAAAGAACTATGATATAGATAGTTATGATATGTTCTGCTCTTTACACTTAGGTGAACTACCTAAGTGGAAGTTTTTTAGTAAGTGAAAATTATTTATTTATTTATTTATGAAGTGCAAGAGACTGAACCCAAAGCATTGTACGTACTAGGCCAGCATTTACCACTGAGCTACACCTCCCAGCCACAAACTACTTATATTTAATCAAATAAATGATTACATACACAGGACACGTTCCTCAGTACTCTCTGAATGATGTAACCATTATACTATCACTTGTTTTCAAGTACATTCCCTGGGATGATGGCAGTAGCAGATTCTCTCAAATTCAGAGGAAAGACACCTGACCAGAGTGCCAACTCCAAGCACCAGAGAGAATCGAAACTTCCCAGGTGAATGACATTACAGATCAGATAATCTGCCAATTTAGTTCTCTGGAAGCATATTAATTTTGTCCAATGGAAAAAAATTCAGCTCATGCCAAATAGATTTAAAATATTAAATCTCTTTAAAATTTTTAGATGTCTATTTTACAATCTTATATAAAATAAGATTATGGCTTACAATAAAATGTTCAAAGTTTCAAAGACATGAAAAACAGAAATGAACTGAAAATATAGTTTATATAAATTGAGGTCCCAGAAATAAAGATGAAAAGCAGTCTCTTAGAGAAAGGAAGGTGAAACTCAGTGTATACTCTAATACACCCAAAAAACCTGTTTTGTGGACAGTAGGTACTGACTAGGAATTCTAAACTGCCACTTGATACCTTTAATCAACACTAAATCAAGTCTGAGGCAAAACACCGAAAGGACAATATCAAATGGAAAGACAATAACTTCCTTCCTTGATGGGCAATCTCCAGCCATTGCTCAGAAGTGCGGTTATTTGATGGGCTGTGAAGCAGCATCCACTGAGTTTTCCTTTCTGACGTGAAGAGACTCACTGCTGATGGATAACAATTCTCGGAGTTCTTTATTTTCAAGCTGTAAAAAAAAAAAAAGAAAGAAAAAAAATACACACACACACACACACACACTTTGTTTCCTGTTTTTTTTTTCCTGTTAAACTGTGTCAAAACACATTGTTTTGGGCCAGGAATAGAAAACAGATTTTTAAATTAAAAGTTTCAAGGAAACAATAAAACCACTAGTTGAGAATCTTCTATATTACTCCTTTATTTATTTAACATTTACTGAGTAATGTTTATATACCACATTTCCCTCAAAATAAGACCTAACCAGAAAATAAATTCTAGCATGATTTTTCAGGATACTCATAATAAGAGCCCTATCCCCAAAATAGACTCAGTTAAATTCCTCATGGCTGGGTGTGGTGGTGCACAGCTATAATCCCCATACTTGGGAGGCTGAGGCAGGAGGACTGCTATGGATTTGAGGCCAGCCTGCACTACATAGTGAGTTCAAGGCCAGTCTGACCTACGTAGTGAGACTTGGTCTCAAAATAAACAACTCTCCCCTCAAAAAACACTATCAGCTGTATGGATGCATTTAGTATGTTTGTTGCAACACACAACTGACGTATTGAATTATAAATATTATATATAATTAAATATCAATAAGTATTATCGACATTCATGCTTAAAGTAATATAAATTATAATTAAGTATTTGTAAATGCACAAGCGAGTGTCTTTGGATGAGAAGTAAATGCCTATGTAAACAGATGAACTTGAGACTTACTGCCGAATGACCAATTGGAGCACAGACACAATGCACGGATAAAGTGTGCACTGATAACAAATGGATGAGTTTGTGTGTAATATGAATCTTTGTAATTCAATATATCATGTGTTGCAGTGGTGCATTACAAGCAGGCTACATGGACAAGAAATGCTCATTTAAGGACAGCTCTATTGCTGGACATGAGAGATTGGAGCCAATGGTTCTACAGGAAATGGAGTCACTACAAATCCAGGATGGAATTTGGGGTTTGGAGTTAGGGCGATGCTCCAGAAGAAAATGACTTGACTGTATTTGGATACATGTAAATCTTTGTATGTGAATAAATGTAGGTTTTTTTGTACGTGGATAAATGAATAAATACACATTGTTGTACATGAATAAATGTAGATTTAACTAACTCCTGATTCCTACTGGGAACCTGCCAGCCCCTTTGATTTCCACATGGGTAGTTTGTACTATGAACATAAAAATTTTGTTTTGTTTTGTGATACTGGGGAATGAACTCAGGACCTTCTGCTTGCTAGGCAGGCACAGTACCACGGAGCTACATCCCAAGCCTACTCTGTACTCATCTTTACTCTCCACAGGAAATTCTCAGAAACCACAACATTTCCAGCTTCACTGAGAAGTCACAGTCCCTGGTCAAGACTACCACATAAAGACCTTCCTGTATTATATGTACGAGTCTTGATTCTTCCACTAAACTTTGGGCAGGGACCTCATCTTTTTCTATTTTTCCCCTGAGTTTCTCAAGGGGTCCCCAATAGCACCTGTAACAAGCATTCAAATCATCTACTAAAATCTTTCCCTTTAAGTAAAAAAAACTTTTTTGAGGGGGAGAGCCTTTTGTTTTTCAGGGTCTCACCATATCTTCCAAGCTGTGCTTGAACTTCCTGTGTATTGCAGGGTAGTCTCAAACTCATGACCCTCCTGCCTCAGCCTCCCAAATAGTAGGATTATAGGTGTGGGCCATCACATCTAGCTCCCTTAATGATTTTATGGGCACACTATTTACACTAGGCCTTTCTTATTTTATATATTCCTAATCAAACTATTACATGAAATTAGCCTTTTAAAAAAATCAAGACTATAATGCTTATAAAATGAACAATAGTTCCTTGGCTTTCTTCCCCATTACCACTTTTTATCTGTTCCCTTTGTTATTTACTTTCTTAATTCTAAATAATATGCCTATACTGCTATTTCCTGATCATCAATTTTAGACATTACCTATTATGGCAGATGAGGGACATCAGCCTACATATAACCTGTTCCTTTCCACTCTCTCTACCCTTCCGATATGATACCTCAACTTATAGCCAAAACATAATTGATATTTTCATTGTTATTCACTACATCTCCTTTCATGAAAAGGTTATGAAGTAGGACCTTTTTTTTTTCTTGAGCCAGGGCCTCGCTATGTAGTTCAGGCTGGCCTTGAGCTCATTATGTAGCCCAGGCTGGCCATGATTCACAGTGATCCTCCTGCTTCAGCCTCTCCAGTGCTGCAATTACAGGCAAAATTCTTACCTCTAACTGGGCTAGTTTTTCCTGAATCTTACAAAACTGGTCATCATCCACTTGAACTGCTTTTCTCATCACTTCTCCCATTTCACAGATTCTGTCAATCTGACTTTCAATTTCCTTTGGAAAAAAAAAGGGTGAAAAAAAAATCTTACAAAACATAAGGTGCATATAATTGTTAAAAATTAATTAAAAAAACCTTTTACCTTGAAAAAAGAAAAATGTTATCGGGGAAAAAAGTTCACTTAATCTAAACTATAGTAACACTATCGCTTTGAGCCATAATAAGTGAGCATGTGATATTCACAAATAATTTTCATTTTTAAAAGATTAACTGCAGCTGAGTATGGTGGCAGAGGCCTACAACCTCAGGATTCTGGGAGGCTAAGGCACATATTGAAGCCTGGCCTAGTAATTTAGCAATTTAGAGCAATCTGGTATCAAAATTTAAAAATATACATTTAAAAACGGGCTGGGATGTAGTTCAGTGTGAAGATCTTGGGTTTAATACCCAGTACAAAGACAAAAGATAAACTCTAATCTAATCACCAATTGGACGTTGGGCACTCTTTCTTTCTTCCTTTGTAAGTCTGGAGATTGAATCAAGGGCTTTCACACTGAGGTACACCCCTACCTGCCCTTTTTTGAGACAGTGTCTTGCTAAATTGCTAAATTGCCCAGGTGGGCTTGCAATGCTTCCTCTGCCTCCACAGTGCTGGGATTAGAGGGTGGAGCACCACACCTGCACGGGCATGTCTTTAAGTGATGTTTAATTTTACTTTGACTACTTTTTCTGTTTTTGGTACCAGGGATCGATCTCGGGTCTTTGCGCTTGCAAGGCAGGTGGTGGAACCACTGAGCTAAATCCCCGGCCCGATTTTGACTACTTTTATTGGCAGGAAGCTTACCCTACTACAAGGTGCTTTATCTTTGGATATATCTTTTAGAAATTATTTTTATATGAGTTAAACTCTTGTTTTCTTCAAGTGTTCTCCTCTGCACCACTGAAAATAATTAATTTTTCTCTTTTAGATGAAAGTCATTCAAATTATTCTAGTAACCCAGGATTAAATAATCTAGTATGCGTAAATGTATAACTATAAAGCACGCAGCAAAAAGAAAAACTACAGGGTCTCCCAAATTAAATCATAAGCAACAAATGTACAAAAAACTATGCTCGGTGTTTTTTTTTTTTTTTTCCAGACATGGTTTTGATAAGTTGGTTAGGCTGGCCTTGAACTTGTGATTCTCCTGCTTCAGCCTTCCAAGAAGCTGGTATTACAGGTGTGCACTACCATGTCTAGTTTAAGCTTTCTCTCTCCTAAAGGTTGTTAAAACTTTTTTTTAATTGCTTTATTTTTTAATGAACACAATTTTACTGATTGATTGAGATAAGGTCTCACTATGCAGTTCAGATGGGCCTTGGACTTGTGATGATACTGAGCACTGCAACACCATGTCCAGCTAGTACGTTTAGTTTATAGTTTTTGTTTTGGTTTTTGATCTCACTATGTAGTCGAGACTGACCTGGAACTCACTATGTAGCCCAAGCTGGTCTCAAACTCACAGCGATCCTCCTGCCTCAGCCTCCTGAGTGCTAGGATTACAGGCGTGCACCACCATGCCCGGCTCACCTCTTCTTTTTATTCACATATTTAAAAAGCTACAGCAAAATAAACAATGAGATAAATTGAATGGAAAACTTTTCTCCAAAAACAAGTACAAAAATCTCAAAGTTTCAATTCAATTCATTTAGAATTTATTCATCAGAGTTTCTTACCGCAGAGTGAGACTGGTGAGCTTTCAGGACTGGTTCAGCATCCACTGCTTTTTTAGCAACCATTAACTGTAACATCTGCTTCCGGTATTTGCTCATGATGAGTTCCAAAGCATCCTGGTGTTCCTCCAAAGAAACCCACAGTTCTAACAACAACAACAACAGAAATCTTTGGCAGTGATCTGAGAGGTAGATCTCAAAGCTAAATAAATTTTATTTTATTTTGTCCCATTCCCCTCTTCAGGCCCCCTTCCCTCTCTATGTACAGAAGTCAAAGCTAAATGCTTAACAGTTAGAATTTTATTATATTCCATGACATCCTACGAATCTAAAATTGTAAATCAGGGTTTAAGTGATCAAAACCACCTCTGATGTGGTGGCACAGGCCTGTAAACCAGCACCCAGGAGGCTGAGCGAGGAGGATTACCATAAGTCTGAGGCCAGCCTAGCCTACACAGTGAGGTCCTATCTAAAACAAAACCAGACCAAATAGTTAAGGTCTACATAAAAAACTTTCTAGACAGAGGCAGCATAGTCTAGTAGAAATGATATAGGATATATAATATAATCAAAAGATATAAATTTGAGGGCCAGGGATGTAGCTCAGTAGTACAGCACCTGCCTGGCAAGATTAAGGTCCTAAGTTTAATTCTCCCCACCCAAAAGAGTATGAATTTGAGTTCAGTTCTGTAATTTAATACTCATACGAAAATCATTTAACCTCTCTGAGACTATTTCTTAAGTCCATTGTATAAATACTTGCCTTGTCTACCTTAAAATGAAGATATGAAAATATAGCAGAAGAATAAATAGGAAGAAAGCCCTCTGGAAACTGACACACAACTATATGTTTCTATCATTAATAATGTGTTCATCAAGCCTATGAATATATACTGTACCTCAAGGATAAAAGTCTCCTCTTCCATCCTGCATAGACATATGCGACTTTCAATGTTCAGTTTTCACTCTAATATTTAAATAGTAAACTTTAAGCATTTGAAATTATGAATTCATGTGTGCGTGCGTGCATGTGTGTGTGTGTGTGTGTGTGTGTGTGTGTGTGTGTGTTTTGGTACCAGGGATTGAACTCAGGCCCTTGAGCTTGTGAGGCAGGCACCAGAACCAGTGAGCTAAATCCCCAGCCCTTGTGTGTTGTTCTTTGAAACAAAGTCTCATGTGTAACCCACATTGGTCTCGAATTTGCAGAGATCCTCCTGTCTCTGCCTCCCAAGTATTGGGATTACCGGTGTGGACTACCACATCAGGCCTGGATTCTTGTTAATACAAGCCTCCATTTGGTATGCCAAAAAAAAAGCCATCTAATAATTCAACTCTACTAAGCACCTGTTTTGTTTTTTTTTTAGGTTTGATGCTCTTAATTGTGTAACCTTTAAAAATTTTTTTTTATTTTAAATTGAATTTATTAGTACATTCTAGGTAGACAGTACAGTTACATTCATTACTGGGATCTTGTACCTTTACATGTCAGGTCTTGGTTCTCATTTTTTCCCCTTGTCCCCACCCTCCCTTCACCCCTAAGCACTTGTTTAATAAGCTGCATATATACCACAAAATCAGATGACCATAAAAAGGGTAAGTAGACCAACCCTGCAATATGACAGCTCTCTTATCAAAAGCACTGACCTGGAGATATAGGTATATATGTGCACTTTTGTGAAGTGTTAAGACAGTTTTGTAGGAACTTTAAAACTATTACCGGAGATGAAAGAAATCATAAATTCAGAAAAGGCCTGACTAACCTCTGTTTTCCTGTTGCAAATCTCTAATTTGTGTGTTCTCTTGGGACAGCAAAATGTGAGGTTTGTATTTGGCCATATCCTTCACGTCGGGTGCATCTTCTTGATGCTGGACAAATAGAGAGAGACTAAGCATGCTGTAAACAGAACAGCGACAAATCCAACTGAAGAGGCAGGAGTCTGAACTCTGGGCAGGATTCTCAGCCCGATCCCGCAGAAAGTTCTCACCACCGCCCTCCAATATAGGGAATAAACTCCAGGCCGAGATCCTACTTGACCTCTGTTCCCTTCAAGTGCCTACAACCCTAGGACACTGGACCTCTCTACCCTCTGCCTGACCTGGTCCGGAAGCGCCGTTCCCGCCTCCCGCATGGCTGCCACCCGTCTGTGCAGCGCCGCAGACTGATCCACCAGGGACTCGGCCGCCGCATCGTGTTCCCGCAGCCTCTCTAGCAGTGTCTTCGCGTCTGTCAGGATCTTCTCGATCGTGCAACTCATAGCAGTTGGAAGACTAGTCTCAGATATGTCAGATATGATCGCCTACCGGATTAGCTCAGACTTCCCCAGACCGTCTCAGGTATAACGCGTCACTTCCGGCCCGTTTAAAAGGCGCCTTGGCCGCTTGGACTGCGCTTGCTCAGCGGCAACCTCCCGGAGGGTTTCCTCGTTGTAACCTTGGGCTAGCGTCAGGCATAGCCTGGGACTTGCTGTTGCCTCGCCTTTGGTTCCCTTTTTCCCTGAGTTAAACTGTTATTATACCTGGTTGGCCCTAGGGTCTCCTTTTCTTGTGGTTTTAGTTAGTGTGGCTTAATTTTGGGTGTTTTGGTGGTGCTGGATTTCGATCGTAGCATCTCAGGGATGCTAGTAGAGTGCTCCAACAGCGAGCTACATCCCAGTCCAATGTACTTTGTTTTCATAGTTTTTGTCTTCTTTTTCTTGATTTAACTTTTAAATATTGTGGTAAGGTAATATGCCATCTTGACCCTCCACCCCTTTCCTTTCAGTATTTAGGGATCCAACCCAAGGTCTCACGCGTGCTTTAAAAAAAAAATATATATATATATATATAGTGGGAATTGAATCCCGGGCCTTTGCATAGACCTGCATCCCCAGCCATTTTTTAGTTTTTATTTTAAGATAGGGTAAAGTCTCCTGCCTCAATCTCCCAGAATGCTGGGATTATAGGAGAATGTTACTATATCTGTCTCACCTTTTTTGGGTGCATAGTTCAGTAGTATCAGTTACATTTAAATTGTACAACCACTGCCAGATTCTATCTCCCAAACTTTTCATCTTGTGAAACTGAAACCTTCTACCCATTAAACATCTTTTCTGTCCTACCCTCAGCTCCTGATAACTACTGCTCTTTCTTCTGAGTCTCACTACTGTATCTTGACAGTGTTTATCTTTTTGGGACTGACATCTCATTTATCATGAAGTCATTACATTTCATCCATTTTTGTAGTATTATAGATAGCTAAATTGGGTAGAAATATTATAGGCAGTCAGATGGGGTGGGCCCTTAAGGGAGTCAGCACAAAAGGTAACACATCACAGCTGTGGCCAGATGCACACTGTTTGGAAATAAGGCATCTAAAGACAAGATGACCAGGCCTGGGTATGTCCTCAAAAGACAAACAATGGGCCTAATGAAGTCTAGATAGACATCAGTCACCTTGATGGGTGACCAGGACCTTCAGAACCATCATTTCCTGGAAAAAGTCCTTGCTCTTTCCATATACACTTATGCATGACTCGTTTTATCCATTGGATCACTGTTATCTAAACGACTATACTTGTGACTTTATTAGTTAATAATAGCCTTAGCCCATGTTGTATCCACGTGGGTACAACTTTATACACAGGTTTTACTCTATAAAATTTCCTTGTACAGTGGAGTCCTCAGCCACCCAATCCTGGACCCTTTCCTGATTCTCAGGAGCTATCCTCTTTTTTTTTTTGGTTTTTGAGACAGGGTCTCACTATGTAGTTAAGATTGACCTGGAACTCACTATGTAGCTCAGGCTAGTCCCTCCTGCCTCACCTTCTAAATGCTGGGATCATAGGTGTGCGCCACCACGCCTGGCTATCCTCTTAATAAATATTTCCCTGCTGGGGATTTAGCTCAGTGGTGTAGCTGCCTGCCTCTCAAGCATAAGGACCCCAGTTTGGTCCCTGTTACAAAAGAAAAAAAAATTTTTTTTCCCTACTCTTAAGCTCTATTGTTCCTAGAATTCATTCTTTGATTTTAGAGGAAACAAACTCAGCATATCAAATATCTCACAGGTTGGAAGATGCAATGTTTTCATATTTTATCTCTTGTTTCAATAGTATGTGCCAGAATTATCTGCACCCATATGTTCATTGCAGCATTATTCACAGTAGCTAAAATATGGAAGTATTAATCAGTGGCTGAAAGTGTGAAGGAACTGTGGGACATAATACAATGGAATATAATTTGGCCATAAGAGAAGGAAATCTTACGTTTGTGATATGAAAAAACCAGGAGGATAGTATATTAAGTGAAATAAATAAGACACAGAAAAACAAATACCACATGATTTCAATTTTAATGTGGAATCTCAAAAAAAAAAAGTCAAACTCACTCAGATGGTAGAATGATGGTTAACAGGGTCTAGGGAGTAAGGATATGAGAACATATCAATCAAACGGTACAAACTTCCATTTATAAAATGAGCAGGTTTTAAACTGGGTGTGGTGGAGCATACCTGTAGTCCCACACTTAGGAGGCTGAAGCAGGAGGAGTGCAGCAAACCCCAGGGCTACATTGAGACCCTCTCTCAAAAGACCTCCACCGACCCATACAATTAGATGGACAAGTTTTAGAGATCTAATGTACAATGTGGGTGATGTGTTAATTAATTTGATGGTGGTAATCATTACACAATGTGCGTGTATATATACATGTTCATATTGTTTTTAAATGTTTAATTTTGTTAATACATATTGCAGGACATGGTTACATTCATTGTCGGGAGTTGGTCCATGTACATAACACATCTTAAGTCTTTTTATTTCCACTTCCCCTCCTTTATTTCCCATTCTTCCACTGATCAACACACTTTGAATATTATTGGCCAATCAAACATTTTATTTTATTTGTTTGATGCACAGGGAATCAAACCCTGGGCCTCATGTATGCTAGGCAAGTGCCTCAGCCCCTATTAAATATTTTAAATTTTAAAGTATTAAAAAGTACACTTATTTTCAGGAATTAAATCAACAACAACAACTCCACAGGTTATGTTAGACTGAGGAAGTGGAAGCCTGCTTCCTGGGCAGAGTAGGAGCATAGACAAGTATACTCCTAAAATCATATTAACAGTGGCAGAGTCAATGTGAGAGCAGAAGGTAGGTAATCAATTTTAATGAAATTGATTATTTGTTTAATTTTTTTGTTTGTTTTGTGGTATCGAGGATCAAACTCGGGACCTTGCACTTGCAAGGCAAGCACAGCACAGCTAAATACCTGACCCTGTTTAATTTGTTTTTGAGACAGGGTCTTGTTATGCAGTTCAGGATGGTCTTGAACTCACCGTGTAGCCTATGTTGGCCTTGAACTCCCAGCAATCCTCCTGCCTCAGCCTTCTGAGTGCTAGGCATACAGGCATGTACCTCCATGCCCAGCTATTTGTTTAATTTTAAAACATTTACACATTCCCTACAGTGTTTCTCATCTATTATGCTCCAAATCTGCTGTCAGATTTTGTTGGTACTTTTTGTTTGTTTGTTTGGTACCAGGGATCAAACTTGGGTCCTTGCCCTTGCAAGGCAGGCGGTGGAACCACTGATCCAAATCGCCAGCCCCTGCTGTCAGCTTTTGACCACTATACAAAAATATGTGCAGCAGAGTTACACATTCACTTTACACAGATAGATGTACAGTCACTAGCTGATTTACCATAATAATCTTCATTCTTGTGAGCCTCCATACCTGCTCCATTAGGTGATATGGGGAAAACACATGTTTGTTTGTTTGTTTGTTTGTTTTGAGACAGGGTCTCACTATGTAGTTGAGGCTGACCTGCAACTCACTATGTAGCCCAGGCTGGTCTTAAATTCATAGCGATTCTCCTGCCTCAGCCTCCCGAGTGCTGGGATTACAGGCATGTGCCACCACACCTGGCTCCGAAAATACATGTTTTTAATGGAATCTAATAACTTATGCTGGTTCAGTAATAAAACAGTATTTTTAAGAGTATCATATTCTTAGGTAGGCTTCAGTCTTTCAGATTTCAGATTTCCTCTTCTCCCTCATTGAATCCATGGTGGAGTATGGGTGTTTAGATTTCTTTTCTTTCTTTTTTTTTTTTACTTTTTTGAGACAGGGTCTCACTATGTACTTGAGACTGACCTGGAACTCACTATGTAGCCCAGGCTGGTCTCGAACTCACAGCGATCCTCCTACCTCAGCCTCCCGAGTGCTGGGATTACAGGCATGTGCCACCATACCTGGCCATGGGTATTTAGATTTGACAAGTCCTTCTTATGGAGGCCGTTCTCTGTGCTGTTGGATTTTTTTTTTTTTTTTTTTTTTTTTTTGTACCAGGAATTGAACTCTGGTCCTTCTGCTTGGAAGGCAGGTGACAGAACCACTAAGCTAAATCCCTGGCCCTCTGTGCTGTGTTGTTCAACAGCATCCCTGGCCTCTACCCACTAGCTGCCAATACCACTTCTTCCCTAACCATAACATTGAAAATGTCTCCAGTAATTACCAACTGTTTCCTGGTGGGCTGTTCGAGAATCTCTGGGTTAAAGATTTCTTTCACAGGATGTACCAAAAGGTTCACAAGTCTGGGGTGTGTGAAGACTTTTGCACAATAGCATTGACCTATGTACTGAGCTCATGATCTCATAACAGCAAAGAATGGTGATGTAGAACACGTCAGAGCTCGGGCCTATCCAGGAGTGGATGAGGCTCCTGCCAGGCCTCCTTCCAAGCCCACTGGGAGAGGGGAACTCAGTTGGGGGTGGTTTTTGCCTAAGGATTTAGAAGAAAGGGCTCTTAAATATCTTCAAATATTTAAAATCAGCATATTCATGCATTTAGGCCTATGCGTATGTCTTTGCACTCTCACTTCTTGCTGGAAAGGGTTTTAGGCTGGAAGTATCTCACATGACTTCCTTTTGCCCTCACAGCAGCCATGTTGGACCTGGGGAGAACACAGGTCAGCGGCCCTCAGAGCCGGATCCTGTTCTGTGAGTGGCACCAAGCAGAGTGTGTGGAAGGGTCTCTTGGGCAAGGTCTGGAGCCCCTCTCCACAAGGCCTGAGGTACCCTGAAGCTGCCAGACGATCCTTACTCGCCAGTGCTGGAGGAAGAGGACACAAGGGTATTGGGGTGCCCTGGCATGGGGTGCCTTGTTCATGGTGCTCCAGGAGAAGCAGCTCCCATCAGAGCCAGGGACTACAGAGGTCCCAACTCTCCTCCCCAACGGTGCTTTTCAAAAGGCTCATATTCTAGATCCCTGGTTGACATAATAATTTCTGCTGTTTTTCAAGAAAGTATCTTCAGAGATCAGCTTGTCAGTTGCCCTCATACTTATTATGACTCTGGCAGTCATATCA